CGTCTATATTTATACAGTTAATGTATAAATATATGTTGTTGTTTAAGTTGAATATATATGTATGCTTTATGAACTATTTTGTAAGCCTTGAAATGTATATGTATATATCCAACATAAATGTAATCCTAGTTTTATATTGTTAGTGTATAACTATTAATTGTATAAGCTTATTTGTAAATTTGAAATTTCTGAACAATGGTATAATCCTAGTAATGTATAATTATACAGTTCATAATAAATTAACAATTGTATAAACTGTCGAGATTTATACAATTAATTGTATAATCATACAGAAAGTAAAATAAACTGTTGAGTTTTATATAGTTAATGTGTATAGTCTCATTATTAAAAAGTGTATAATAATCAATTTTTATATAAAAAGTACAAAGTGAAATATACACTAGGTTTATACAGTTAGTGTATAAATATATATTGCGTAATGTAGTTTGTATAAGTATTAAATTGTAAACAAAAATAACGAAGTGAAAGACTTAATTGAACAAACAAGTATATTACAATACAAAAACATAGAAGTTCATAAATTGTTATGTCTTTTGTATATTCAAAAATACATAAATCTAGTATTACGGTTCTAATAAATTGTGATCATGTCACTGATATCAACATCCTATGAATCCTGACTGGCCTTTCTGGTGCGTCACTGTCACTGGTGGCATCAACTTGGATTTTTTACATTCCATAATTCTACAACAAAGACGCGTATTGAATACGAGTAAACTATGGATCAAATATTGGAACCAAATTTCCCTTACTGATATGGTCTGCATAAGCAGCAACATATAGTCCACAATCGCTGAAATTATACACAACCGTTCTAGGATCAGTGTAAAAATAAAATTAAAAATTTGATTAAGAGTAATAATAAGACTTACAGGCTTCCTTCATGTTGTTGTGTTATATCATTGACATGTATAATTTCAAAAGAGTCAACTTCAGAATGCGACTTGTACTTCGGATATGACGATATGTTAATGCTTTTCTTCCTGTAAAAACCAGACTTAGATAAATACATGGGAATCAGTTGTGCATATTTCTTGATCTCATTTGAAACTGACGAATTGTGTAGTGAACCACCCCTAAGAGAATCATAGACATGTATACATCTCTCATTAAAGGACACAACAATAAGAACCCAATGAAATATCTGCTCGATGTTAACAGGGATAAGGATGTTATCAACGGTATGCCAAGGTGCAGCAACATGAAATCTGTATCCATTAATGTACTCAATAATGGACTCCTCTGTACTCTCCTTGTTGACTATACTATCCAAATTGTAATAAGCATCCCACACATTTGCAATTAGTTTATTGAAATGGCAATCCACAGTAATAAAGCTGACTTCATTGTTATCGGAGTCGAAGTACTTGGCTCTTTTGCGTATGTAATACAAAATGACATCTATGTGCTGTAAAAATACATAATCATAAATTGTATAAATACTAAATCTGTAAATTGTATAAAAAACAGAATTGTGTAAAGCTTACCGAGTCATCAAGTAATTGATCTTTGTATGCAAGCCTATAGAACCAGTTCTTGTTTTGGACAGTTACAATTCCAAAATAAAACCACATCTGTAAGCGAGACTTGTTCTTTTTGTATCGCTCTTCTTTACCTATCCTATCGAAATTCAAATAAAAAGAAATTTTTATACAAATACACACATATATGATTAAATAATTATATTTAGTAATTACTAACTAATTTACTTTGCGCTATGCCTGACAAGAAGCCCTTCATTTAACCATTTCAAGAAATGCAGATATAAAGTTGTAAGATCCACATCCGACATTGCAACAAATGGATGTTTGAGTTCAAACACGTAGTGGAACCTTGATGAACTACCTGAAATGTATAAAGACATATTATTTTTAGGTGTGTAAAACACTTATTGATATAACTGTGTTAATATGTAAAATGTATAATTTGTTATACCAGATTCAAAACTGAACGTTGTCACATAAGGCGACGTGTTGAATGGGCCTGGACGCCTTTCCCTTGAAATTGGTAACGGTGTGTGTTCGTCCACAACTAACAAAGTATGTAACACAATGCTTCTTTCTGTATTAATTTTTGTTTGATTATCATCTACAATCTGAAGAGGTTTTGGAAAGATGAAATCTTCCTCAACAACTAATTCATCGGCGTTGGATGATCCTGGTTTGTTTGTATCTCCCAATTCTTCTTGCTCCATCTTTTCAGTTTGATCATATATAACATTCAATAATTCCTGCTGTTATATAACAATAGACAAAATTTTGACAAAAAAATACAAATTAATGATCATATTATATACAACTTAACCCCTTTAATTTACGAAGACAATAACATACAAATGAAGGATTGTTGAATTCTGCTTGATCATCCATGAATTGGGATCTTTCTTTGTCCACTTCTACTGAAACATCTTCACATTTCTCCGTCTAAATGTATAATATTAGTAATATAC